GTCATCCTCGTCGACGTCCTCGCCGTGAGTCGGCGTGCCAGTGCCTGCGCTGGAAGATGCAGCTTGATCGTCGTCATTTTCGGCGTCCTCTAAGTTGGACCAGTCTTCGCGATCGCGTTCCCTCTGAGATGGTGGATCAACGGAGGGGAGTTCGTAAGTCCGGTCGGCTATCTGAGCCAGAACGTCGAGTTGGCGCTGCTTGACGCCGCTGTAATTGATAAGAGTCTTCCAAGCGTCGACGTTCGGATTGATAATCCACGACGTCTTGAGCTTGGTTCCTGACGTGAGATCCTGCCGGATACGTGCCAACGCCGTCATGGAGAGGCGATTCTTTGCGATGACCTTGGGATTTAAGGCGTCGGTGAACTCGAGGAAGGAGAGCACTTGAGGATATCCGTAAGCGTCTATCTTTGCCGGATTGAGGGCGTTCTCTAGCGTGGCCTCGTACCGGGCCTGATCCTTATCGTGGAGGACAACCAGATCTTCAGCGATAGGTCTCTGGGGCTGTCGACCTCCGCGTGGAGACTTGCCGGTCTGGCCTCCGATCCAGAACATTTCAGGACGCTTCTCCAGCCTCTCGAGAAACGCGTAGAAGCCCCACGTCTCGATGCAAAGGCTCGTAAAGGACAGACAAGCATGAGAGGCTCGCATTTTGAGCTTGCGGCGATTAGGCTGAGCTGAGGTTGTCTCGAGGGGGGCGTGGAACGCCCACTCCCAGAAGGCGCGTCTGTGGGTCATCCAGAACCGCCAGTGGGCTCGATGAATGTCCTGATTCTCAGCTGGGTCATACCACAGAGGTCGACCCGACCAGGGGTACGCCAGGCGCCAAGGGACCTTGCCGGCTTCTTCAGCCTTGTGGAGGACGATGGCAATCGCGGTTCGCACGACCCGAGGAGCGTTGGGATTAGCGTCGAGCAGCTTGGCGTAGTCGTATGAAGGAAGCGTCAACTTCTGGGAAGAGCGGCTTCTTGGCGGACGATTTGGTGACTGTGTCGCCGGCGCTGGCCTTCCGTTTGGAGGACTTCTTGGAAGACGTAGCAGGTTTCTTGCCCGAAGACTTGTTGGATGACACGGACGGGGTTGCTGCTCTTGGAGCGCCGGACGCGACTGGCTGAGTCACGACCGGGGGTGCTGCACTTGGAACGCCGGGCGCGGCTGGCAAGATCACGATCGGGCCTTGGAGGCTGACATTCGACTTGCCTTGGAAGATGTCTTCGACGAGTTGGTCGAGATGTGGGAGACCCGTAGACATGCCGTTGACCCCGAGGTGTGCGCGTATCTCGCCCCAGAGTTGCCGCTTGAGAGCGTCCTCGTCGTCAGAGGAAGGACCGTGCTCTTCGCGGTCAAGGGCCGCGTCCAGGAAGGCGCGGAACCGCTTCAACTCGGCGGCGGTGAGCTTGTTCGTCATGCCGGTCGCGTCGATCGATGAAAGATTGGGTACTGAAGGATCCCATACCAGAGAAGGTTGGTGGCTGCCGGTGGGTGCGCCAGGGGTACGCCACCTGCGAAGGGACGTTGAAGTGGAACGCGATGACGGGAATTGACCCCGAGCGAGAGGGCGCCGGGTAGGACACATGCACTGGCAGTGGACGGCGGTTGGAGGTCCACTAATGGAACTGACAGGCGATGGAGAAGTGGCAAGCATGGGCCGAAGCAGCCGAGCTGAGGGAGGTGGCAGGAGCGACAAACTACTGGGTGCTCGCTATTAGTGCTGTCGCTGGCGTCGTAGTGTGGGTGGTGACCACTCCGTTGAGGAACGTCTCATGGGCGTTCCTAGACATCGTCGTTGACAACGGAAGGGCAGTCTACTTTTTCGCGTACACCTGTGGTGATAGGTACCTTGAAGCTGCGCGGAACGCGAATGGCTTAGCTCTACCTCCTCTTGAAAATGCGTGCGCTCTAGTCTCGTTGACGTTCCTGATTCCTATTGCAGTGCTGCAAGATTATGAGGCACGATTTGGGATAACGGGATGGCTGTGCTTGAGGTGGTGTGAGGCGTTCCACCACTCCTGCTGTCTGTTCGTGCCTGACGCGGTCCAGCTACTCTGGGTGTCCACTTGCAAGTATGCCCGAGCGACAGGGGAAGCTACGGTGGCAGTGATCGAAAGGACTGGCGATTTTTTGATGGGTATCTACTTGGCTGCCTCGTTGCTATTATCTCTGCTGGTGTACTTGCCAC